CATTTCTCATAGGATTCTATGATGGCCTATTGGCAGAGTTTTTTGATTAGGATGGAAATCTTGTATGATTTTTCCTAACATCTGTCTTTCTTTACCAAACAAGAATTATTGTACCATGTCTGTGGAGGAGTTTAAATAAAGATATGTGATTAACTAAAACAACTGCTTTCTACCTTCATGCCTTTGTTTCAGAAAAAATAAGGGCTACATACATAGCTAAGAAAGAAATTATAAATATAGTATGGGCATCTTCTAATGACATACTGCTTAGTAATAAATGGAGACCATAGTTATCTGTAGTCTGTTGTACCTAACCAGGGCTTTATTATAGCTATTTCCCTTAACCCTGGCTATATTTTTAAGGTAGGTTTTTCCCAGATGCCATCTCAGATTTACTTTCTATTCTGAGAATGGGTTATTAGTATCTCCAGTTCTTCTCCAATATATTTCTCTAAACATAAGCAGGAGGTTTCTAAAATATCTATCCAATAAGAAAATAGCTAAATATGGAAAAAATAAAATACTGTAAAGAATTAAAGATGATAATAACTAAAAATCATATAGCAACCTTGATATAATTTATGCATGCTATTCAACTTAAACATCAGAAATGTTAAATTACATATATTATTAGGATAATTAAGTACATGTAGATCATATCTAGATGAGATTATAGATAAAGATTAGCCATGACAAATTTTTATTATATCAAGGTTATGCATAAGGATTAGCAATTATAATTGTTAATATATCAGGATTGTTGGTGATTTTTTTAAGATTCAGCTGTGATGATTGATATAAATTCTTAAAAAAGTCATGGTGCTTGTGGTTGCTTTTGAAGCCATTTCACTGTTACTCAGTAGTGACAGTGAGGGTATTCATCAGTGATGTTGCTACAAGGGAAGTGGTTGCTATAATCTCAGCTCTATATTTCTGATGATGGCTTTATGAGGTTCAGGGGTTCTCTTGGTAATCTTAAGTACAGAGTCTTCAGAAGAGCTTTGGAGGAAGGAGGTCCTGATCAAATTTTCTTAGTATCTTCTCATGTCTAATTCCATGCTTTTTTCTTAAGAAAAAATTCTAAGTGATAATCTTGCTAATATTCAATATTGAGAATGCATTAGACATAAAGACCAGATCTCCACTTTATTTGTTCCCAAATTTAAATGTTAAAAAATAGGTACCCAGTAGAGGACTGAAATAAATTAATAAACCTAGTAGGAAGTCGATCAGATTGAGTACTTGACCAAAAAATAAGACAGTGATCACTGGTGACTGTCCCTTTCACTGTTCAACATCAATGAAATGACTTCCAAGGCAGCCACAAGAACTGTGATCACATGTAAACTAGTATGAGTACTATGGAAATAAGTCTGGAAGCATCTCAAACCTAACAATAGAACTACCTTCTTCTAGAATTTAAATGAATCACTATCATTGAAACTTAAAATAGTCATCAAATCTAAATCTAAAACCATATTCAATTGATCAATTATCTTTTTATTTTCCATAGTAGAAATAAATATGCAAACATTTCTCATATACTATTTCATTGCTTTCTTCTTATTCTGCAAGATGGCTTATTAGTAGCAGCATCTTGTTGTCAGTTAATAGTTACATTTGTCTCTATTTCAAATATTCGATAAATGTGTTCTTAATTTGTTTTTGACATACAATGAGAGAAAGAGGAAGCCTGTGAGGTCATCTACAAAAGTAATAGCTATGCAGTCACATAATAACTCTGTTGCTACAAAAAGCTTTTACTGGACTTCTCAAAATTTCAGTTGATTTTCTGCAATCTATCAACAATAAGAACACTTCTTAAATGGGATACTTGACAGGATGAAATAAGCCAATATATGTAAAGTGACTACTGTAGTTTTTGACACATAATGATCACTCATGATGTTGTTACGGCATTAGGATTACTTTTAGTATTAGTAGATGTCATTCAACTTTACTCTTCTTTATCTGTCGTATAAACTTATTCCAGTGGTATAACAATGTATATCTTTGAATTATAAACACAGAACATAAACACAAATATCCACTTACATAGATAATGGCCTAGCCATTTCTATGGTATAGATTCAAACTGACCATTCAAAAACATTTTTGTATTTTAAAACTGAGCAGGAAGGTAATTAGAATACAATCCTACTTTGAGGTATTTAAAATACCATAATCTTTTTAATATTCTTTTAAGGATAATTTCTCATTTGCTACTTTCTACACTCCCTTTCGCTAATCAAGCATATCACTATATGCCTCTTTTCTTATACTCACTTATTTCAAGGATCCATACCAAACTATTTCTTTTTTCCCATTAGCCACTTTAAGCTGTGATCTTCTAACTTCATATTATTGTAAATTTAAGAATACTATACTATGATATGATCAGGTCATTCAAGAATAACTACATGGATTCTTTATTTCATGTAGAACAGTAACTAGGAGAGTGATCAGTAGAAATTAGTAAACGCACTTATCCATTAAAAAAAAACATGACTGGGAGCAAATATCTCATATCCACTTCAGATTTTTCTCCCAACAAAATTAATGATAAAACTTAAAATCTTATGTGTTTTTTTATCATTCTTTCTGTAGATGAAAATCTTGCCTTCATAGAAGCATAAGTCATTTGACAAAGTAGCTGTGACAGAGAATGGCTAAGAGCTCATTAATCCCATTTACTATTCTTGAAATTTAGTTGTGAACAAGTTCTGGTCAATGAGATGTGGTGGAATTTCCAGGCCTGTCTATAAACCTCCAGGGACTAACTGACATTCTTCCTTTTTCTCCTGCAGTAGCAGTAGGGAAGCCATATAATTTAAACAAGTTACACAAAACGGGAAAAGAATATTTCCAAATGACCATTTGGAAAGAGGCCCCCCAAAAGTGTTTGGACCTGTCAGCTTCTACTGAATTAAAAACAAGGAATTAATCGTATTCTTTTATGTGGGACTGGGATTTCAATTCAGAACCTCATGTTTGTTATCAGACACTCTGCTACTTCAGCCACACCTTAAGGCTTTTTTTAAAAGTTATTTTTCAGATAGAGGTTCACACATTTGCCCAGGATTGGCCTCAGACCACGCTCCTCCCATGTAGTTGGGATCCTCTTGAGTTGGAGTATCATTACATTTTGCCCTATCTGGGCTGGAATCATGTTCCTTTAATCTCTACCAGATTTACTGGAATTATACATGTGTGCCACCATGTCTGGCCACTAAGTGATTAAACTTTATTATATTTAGTTGCTAGTATGTCTGTGTTTATTATTTTTTTACCATAACTTAGCAGAATATAACAGGACTTAGAATGATATTGTACCATTGTGAGGAAATGGAAAGACTTGGGAAAAATTACATTAAGTGAAGTAAGTCAGAGCTAATGAAACATAGCCTCCATGGTTTTCCTCATTTGTGGTAACTAGAATGTGTCTATAAACCTACAAGAAAACACAATGAATGATATACATATATAATATATAATATGTAATGAATGATATATATATAGTCTATATACAAATATTTATGCACACACACTGGAACATGATAAATTATATAGGACTGTAGTCATTTGTATCCTGAGGACAAAGAAGGATATGCATAAGAACTATGTGCATATGATCATCTAAAATAATATTCTATGAAATGAATTCCAAGAAAAGGAAACAAGAGATATTTTTAGTTACCACTGTTGCTGCTTTTCTTTTTTTCCCCCTTTTCTCTTGTTAGTTTGTATTTGGGAGGGCAAACAAAAGGTGAAACAAGGGCAAACAAATGCAGCAGTGGTGCTCTCTGGATACCAAGTGGAAAATAAAGTGGATATGTTTTGGGTGGGGAAAACTAGGAAAGAGTAACAGAAGGGGAGACATGGTTCAAAAAGAATTGTACTCATTGCTCATTACCTGATTTATGAAACTGTAATCCCTCTGTATATCAACTCTACAATAACAATTAAAAATAAAAATAATAAAAAAAACTAGACAAATTTAAAAAAAGAAATGAAAATCAATTCATCAAAAAAGCCCTAACTATATGGCTATCTTCTTAGATAACATAACCAATATGATATTCAGATACTTATGTAGCAATAGGCATTTTTTATCAGAAAAAGGTCAATAGTTTTTGTTGAAATACTCAATCTGATAAACTTCCTATTATTTACTTCTCTGTTTAAAAATCCCTACAGGGTACCAGTTATTTAGCATTTAAAGTATTTTTAACTGGTCTTTCAAGGCAACATTTGAAAGGATCAAGTGTTTGTAAAATACCATGCATATTTTTTCATAACATGTATTTGTTAAATCAATTTTATTTCCTTTTTCTTTTCTTTTTTCCCTTTCCTCTATCCTGAGGAACTGTAAACTGTTGAGAGATAGATATCTGATCAAGTATTAGGTGGAAGAAGAGGACAAAGTAGAGACGGAAGAGATGAATGAATTGTGTTGAAGTTCAGACAATGAAAGAAGTTAGGCATATACCTCTATCTTTCCCATTCTGTACTCACTTCTTCCCTTCTCCATTCAGAGCCCTCCTATACAGAGATGAGTAGACCTATTACATTGCCTTGCCAAGTTAAGCTCAAATTATTGTCTTCACGAGACTATAGAAGTATAATATGTACATCAACTCTGCAGTGCTCTTAAATACTATCTCATTATGTCCAGATTAAAATTAGTTCTAAGATTGTTATCAGCCATTGGTTTTCCTCTAATCTCTATTGTGACTCCAAACTCTACTGTCAAGCCAAGCATGGTAACAATACCTGAAATTCTTCCATTTGGGAAGTTGAGGCAGAAGAATTGTGAGTTTAAGATTAGCCTAGGTTACATAGTGAGACTCTGTCTCAAAAAGAATGAAGTACCCTTAATTTTAGTTTGAATATAATTTTCCTTTAATAAATTTATACTTAAATCATTAAATATTAATGCATGCCTCAATTGCATTACTTCAACAAATACTGTACTTTACGAAGACATGTTTGATACTAACCTTGGTTTCTGTGATTTTCTTTTGGATTGCATCCATTGTGTAAGGGCCCTCTTTCCATGACTCGAGCTTGGCTCTAGCCTGTCCTAAGACTTGCTCAGCTTCTTCCTTAGCTTCTAGCCATTGTGTTGAATCCTTTAACATTTCGTTCAACTGTTCCCTCCGATTCTGAAGATGTTCCTGTACTTCATCCCACTGATTCTGAATTCTTTCAACTGGAATGAAAGGGGGAAAATGAATAAATCACTTGTATAAATGTTAGCTTGGAGAAGACATTTTAAATTTTTTATTAACATATTTATTTGTACAAGAGGATTTCATTTTGGTATTTCCATGTATTACACCATTTGGAGGTAGCAAACTTTAATAGGTGGAGCCTAGTGGAAAGACATTGGGTTACTGGGTTTGTTCCCAATAGAAGTAGGCAATATTGAGACCTCAGCCCTTACTCACTCTTTACTTAATGGCTGCCATGAGGTGAGCAGCTCCCTCTGCTGCATGATCCCCACCATGATGTACTATATTGCTACAAACCCAAAGAAAATAGGGGAAACAGCTCACAAACTGAAACCTCTCCAATTGTGGGTGAAAAAAACAAAACAAAAAAAATCTTTCCTTTTTTTTTTTGCAAGTCCTGGGGCTTGAACTCAGGGCCTGGGTGCTATCCCTGATCCTCTTTGTACTCAAGACTAACACTCTACCACTTGAGCCACAGCATTACTTTTGGCTTTTTCTGAGTAGTTTGTTGGAGATAAGAGTTTCACAGACTTTCCTGCCCAGGCTGGCTTCAAACCAAACCACAATCCTCAGTTCTCAGTCTCCTGAGTAGCTATAACCTGTTATACTGAGTAGGATAACAGGTGTGAACCACCAGCCCAGCTAACCATCATCTTTTTAAGTTGATTCTTTCAAGAATTTTTTCAGGACAGAAAGGTGACTAACAAAGTATCTTACATATGCACATTCATGCCTTTCTACTTTACACTGTGAGTTAATGCATCACACGTTGTTACTGGAAGCTAAGAAATGCCAGTATCATGTTCATGGACTTCTCAATTTGCAGAATAAGAAGTCAAATTAAACCTCCTTTATCAATTTCAGTAGTTCTTATAGCAACAGAAAACGGACTATGATAAATTTTTCAGTGTCTCTTCACTTTCTTGTGGAATATCTGAGTTTAACATGCATACTCTTCTGTTGTCTGGTCCATGTAATCTGAGAGGTTTATTTACAAAGGAGCAAATCTTAACACAAGTAGGTTATAAGAAAACAACTACGTATAATACAAGAACCTTGTAGCAGTGGAACTATTATTACATCTAGGCCACAGGAATGAGGAGGAGAAAGAGAAGTGGCCAGAAGCAGAGAGTTATAATGAGAAACCACCTGGAAAAAAGCAGTAACCTTTTGTCAAGGGACATAGTCAGCCTGAGGCAACCTCACAGCAGGGAATTAGGAGAATAAATATCCTGATCTTATTTTGCTCACTCTCTTCAATCTCCTAAGAAGACTCCCTGGTGCCTAAACCAACTGGAAGCCAGAGGGCCTGGGAGCTCAGTAATGACACATAGGTCAGTCTCCCAGAATCGAAAGCAGAGAAGAGAAGTGCAAAGACTAGCTATGGATGGACAAGCAAACTGAATACAACACAGTATCGTGGAACTGTGCTTCTCATTTCATGATGTCAGTAAAGTTTAAATGAATGCTTCTGCCTATATAAAGGTATAAGAAATTATTATTATTATTAGGATATATGAGAAGAAGGATTTGAGCTATATGCACTGCATAGAACAAGGTTATTATGCCATGATATTGAGAAACCAAATTGGCACTTGATATAAACTATTGTTTTTAATAGGCTTATTTATATTTGGTTGTTTGCTATGAGTTACAAATTTTTTATTAACCGGTTTAAATGTCAGTCTCTCTAATCTTTGAGTATTTTTATTGTTGTTTTTATTTCACTAGGTAGTTGAACAACTATACAGTTCAGACCTAACAGTTACTGATTGGTCTTCTATTTAATGTATAGTTTATAAGAAAGCTATTTAAAATATAAATCAAATGACCCAAGCTTTCTGAAATATATTTCTATGATGATAGAAACAATTGGGATTTCTATTATACACTCTTTCTAATCTTGTCACAGCATAATATTTTATAATCTATAGTTAACACTTGTTTTTGTCTACTGTATTCTCTCTCTCTCTCTCTCTCTCTCTCTCTCTATATATATATATATATATATATATATTATTGGCTTTCCTTAAAAATAAACTTTGGTTCCAGTTTGTCTTTATATTAGCCTCATTTAGTAACATTTTAATATGGTAACAATTTTTAGTATGCTTGGTGGCTTTTACATAAATATAGTAAAGCTAATTGGATTCACAATATTGGATATTTAGTTCATCTATTGTTCATTTCAATATCACACAATCCATTTTTCAAAAATGTCATCACTTGATATCAGGATAAAGTAAAGTAGTTCTTGCTATTATGTAGACAGATATTTTTAATTATGGACAAAAGAGGGACCTTTATAGCCTTGAACAATACAATTACAGCAATGAAGATTTGTATCCAAGTGGTCATATACGCATAATATAGCAAGATAAAAATGGTATATGGCATGTGCACCCCACTGGGTGTACTTTCTCACTCTTGATCTATAATTGTACATTATCATCAGATAATACTCAACTAAACAAATTTATAAAATATGGAATGACTCAAAAACTCAATCCCTTTTTATACTACTACTTACCAATCTAGCGACAGTCATGCTTTTATTCACCATCTCCTAGATAATGGGCATTATGCTAAGTTTTGAGAAAACAATGAAACTGAAGATAAATTCTCAATTGTAATGCTGTCATTCACTATCTGCTCAAAGAACATGGAATGATCAGAGTGATGATAGTAAATTTAATCTTGGATCTCTTCAATGAGAGGTTTTGAGGATAATTCACAAAAGACAACCTTGTTAGTCAGTTGGATTGAATGTACTATAATGTAGTAAATTATTTTCGGAACAAGAGAAGTTTGGAATTGAAATTTTCTATCAGAGAAGTAAAAACGGAAACTACCAATATGAGCATATTCTCATTTGTCTGGCATATAGCTCAAATAGAGGGATGAGGGACTTCTAGCAATTTCAACATACAAGCACTGAATAAAACAAAAGAAGCCAATAAAATAAGTGAAAGACAAGAAGTCAGAAGGAAAACAAAAACAGCATAAGTATATGAATATGGAAAAGATGTTAAAACATAATTTTTCCTAAAATACATAAAACTTGAATATAAACATAGGTCTTAAGGGAGAAAGAATATAAATGCTTTCAAATGAATACTGATACTGCTAGATGGAGGAGAGTTTCTAAGAAGGTGTCTACTGAACATTAACAGCTCCTTCTCCTTAAGTCCTCTTTTGTTTTTAGCTTTTGTGGTTTTCTTGGAATAGATTATTCCTAGATTTTTGGCTATCACCTAATTCATTTAAATTTGTCTCCTTGGCCTTAGTGATTAATTCAAGGATGACCTTATGCTCCTCACAGGGCTAATCAGAGCCAAAGAAGCATTTCTGATTTGTATTATTAAGGAAGGAAACTGCTTCCTACTTAAGAAAAAAACATGTAACCCTGCAATATTCTGACATTCATCTTGAGACAAACTAAAAGGCATTAAACAAAAAAAAAATATTGTGCTACAAAGCCATGAAACAGAGAGGAAAATCAAATCAGGTCATACAAATTAATTTCTAGATCAAATATTACCTATTTTTCAGCTGTTTAGTGACCATGGTCAATACATCTCTTCTGAGTTATTTTAAGTTATCTTAACTGCATTTTAAATACTACATTACAGAAAGTTCTGACTGACAGAGAGAGAGAGAAAGAGAGAGAGAGAGAGAGGTTACTTTGATGGAAACACAAGTCTCAAAAGGATTGTGTAAAAATCAGAGGAAGTGTAAGTGGGGATATCTTTCAAATGGAAAAGTTTAAAGAAGACTTTGATCCCATTCAAAACAAGTTTAACAGGGTATCAGGATAAATAAACTTGATGCTTGGAGGAGTTCCCACATAAAAACTTCCAAAGCCCATGGAACCAAAGCTCACCAAAATGTCATGGCATTTAGATGATATAATTCTGTGAGCCTTATCAGTAGGAAGACATTTTTACCATCAGATCTTAGCCTTTGTCTATTCCAATTCCTTATGTGATGAATTCATAAGTGAAACATACAACCCAAAAGAGGGCTATCTAGGAACCAAATTGAACTAGAGAATACACATAGAGGATGGCCTTGCTTGGTTATAGTTACAGTTCCAAGTGTAATGGATTCTTTTTCCTTTTAAAACAGATCTTTGATAATTAACTTTCACTAAAATGTCATGGTCATATAGAAAGAATTCTTATGTGCAGTCATTTTCTCCCATCTTGGTACTGTCATGATACTCAATCTTTGAAAATTTGTACTTTTCATTATTATAATTTACATGTCACATATCAGTCTCCCACACTTGACAACAGTACCTCGAGGGAAAGGGAAAGACTTGTAGCAGATGCTGTCAATTTCCAAGAATATGCCCTTAGCTCTTAACATTCAAACGTATGTTAGCAAGCACTTGTCCTAGCACAATCCTGAAGACTTGCTTTTAGCTTTTAGCCTGCCCAGAGTGCATTGACCAGAAGTGCTGGGGAAGTTAATGCATCAGGAATAGTATTAAGCCAGTGACAGAGGAGAGTTGGAACTTAATTACCCTTGGTCCCCTGTTCTTGCCACAGTATGCAAAAATCTATGAGGTATGTTTTTCACTTTCTCCCAGGGTTTCTTCATTAGTTGTTGAACCACAGTTGCCCACAGCAATAACCTGCTCAATAATTGACTCAATTATTGGCTTCTTTCCTTTCCCCATGTCTGTTCCTCTGTTCTATTGGTACTTCTTGAGATCACTTTACAAATAAACTACTTTTATTCTTAATTATTAGTTCAAGATCTGCCTGTTATGGAACCTAGCCTAAGTTAGCACTATAATCACTAAAAGAAAAATACTTGTTTTGTACACAGCCTAGTGTTTGATGCACTTCCAATAATGGTCTGCACAATGAAGTATCCTCATATACAATTTCAATTACCTATATTTCTTTATAATGAAGCAAAAATTTCACTTCCCAAATCAACCATTGCCCACCATCTTGATTCAGTCTTC